GTGTATGTGTGTGTGTGTGTGTGTGTGCGTGTTTAACATTTGTGCAGGTGCTCATGGAGGTCAGATGAAGATGTCAGATCCCCTTAAGCTGGAATTACAGGCAGTTGTGAGCCACTCAACATGGGTGCTAGGAACTAAACTCCAATCCTCTGCAAGAGCAGCAAACACTCTTAACCACTGAGCCATCTCATGCCTTTTCCATCCTACTAAACAGATCCATGTGTCTCAAGATTCCAGGGATCTGCCCCACCCATATATTCAACCTTAATTTTCAGGACCTCCCTACCAATCTTTCAAGGCCATTTGATCATAGCCCAATATTCACCTAGCTCCAGAGTCTATATCTGTCTAACTCCTTTGAGTTCCTATATAATCAGGTGGTGACAAGTTTGCTTTAGGAGTGTCCTCACTGCCCTTTCTTGTATGAGCTTTGCCACACTAGGAGTAGTGGCTTCCTTACAGTTGCCAGCACAGACTTGGCTCCTAGATGTTAGGAATAGATGGATATTGACTGACCGAGACACTCTTTAAAGTTAAATGTTCTGCCACATTTCAACAGAATCGCAGGCTATCAGAGGTAGAAGTACTCCATTAGAGCATGATGTTCCCTAGTTCAAGTCTTTCAGATTACTAATGATGAAGTGAGTGTTACAAATGAAAGGGCAGACTCAAAGTCACAGAAGCCAATACTTAGGATATTTAGACTCTATATGAGAAGGAACTAAGAGACTAGGAAGAAAGGTTTATGGGGTTTCTCTATTTTACTTATCTCTGAGATAAGGTCCTATGTAGTCTAGGCTGATCTCCAACTTGCAATGTAGCAAAGGATGACCTTGAACTCTGATCCACCAAGCCCACTTTTTTAAAACATTTTAACACATTTGTTTATTCATTTATTTATTGTGTGTTAAGCATGAGCACATACACATGCCACAGCACACATGTGGAGGTCAGAGGACAATTTACAGGAGTCAGTTCTCTCCTTCAACATGTGGGTTCTGGAGATGAACTCAGGCTATCAGACTCGGCAGCAAGCCTTTTTACTTGCTGAGCCATCTAACCAGTTTTATGTGGTGTTTGGTGCAAGCTAAGCAACCACTCTAGAAACTGAGCTACATTCTCAGCTCTTTTCATTTTTCTGTTTGTTTGTTCTGGAACAGTATTATGTAGCTGGGTCTCAAACTTGCTAGAAGACCAGAATAATCTTGCACTCCTGATCCTTCTGCCTCTACTTTCTAAGTGCTCGAGGCATGTGCTACCATGCCCAGAGCTTGGTTTATCAAGTTTCTTTGGGAACCATGAAGAACAGTCAACTGTATCCATTTACATGGGAATGGAGGAAGTCCAGATGTAGGACAAAGGGAAGAGTGACCCACTACAAGCCACTCTACCAGGGAAGCTCAAGACCTCTGGCAGCTATACATTTCTCCCTTTCAAGCTCAGACAGAAAAAATGGTTAATTAATAAAAATTTAAATTTAAAAAAAAAAAAAAGCTTCTCTCAGAAGGACTAAAGGCCCAGGGCAGCTGGAATGGCAGGAAGTAAGACTCTCAGAACAATTCTAGAAAGACAACATAGCCTTCAAAACCATGTCAGCATGGTCTTGGAGACCAGGAGGCCAACAACTCACGTGGAAACAGGAGGCTCCCAAGAGCTGGCAGCACCAGGGCTATGGGGATGAAACAGGACCTTACCTTTCCTGAAGGTCATGCAGACTCTGCTCAGCTCGGTGTAACCCTTCCAAATCCTTCATCATCTTCTTCATATGTTCCTTGGAGTAACGGTTCTGAATATAGGCAAACCAGCAGCCACCCACACCAATAACGATAGACACCACCAGCATGAAGTCCTTGAGATGATTATGGCGGGTCACTGCCAGACAGGGGAGGACATGATGAGTTAGGGCACTCACGCATACTTCACTTGCAGACTCATTGCATCCCCTCCTCAATGATTCCTCTTGTGAAACGCAGACCTTTAACCATTCGAAGGAATTGTTTCTCTGAGGCACATATGCCACATACTATCACAGTAAGGTCTGTGCGTAGCTCTACACTACTCAGAGCTTAGCTTGGAAAGGAAAGAAGACAAAAAATAAATAAAAGAGCAATTCTGGAGGCTTATAAACTCATCCTTCCCTAAGACTCAGTGAGAGGAGTGAACAGTGCCTACTGAATACATCCCAGTCATTTTGGGCTGGCCTATGCACCCATGAGAGTCTATGAAATGAAAGACAAATTAGCATACCCTATTTCCATTCATGGAGGGGAGTTACTAGGTCCAGGAAGGCCTAAACTTCCAACCATACTTTAGCCCTCACTCTTTCATCCTTCAGATCGAAGAGATATTTCTGCAGCACAAGAGTTGCTTTACCTACTGAGTCATCTCTTCATCCCCCATTCTTACATTCCTTTGTTTTTATGTGTATGAATGCTTTGTTTGCATGTATGTAGGTGTACCTCATGCATGCAATGCCCTCAGAAGAGGGCAGCAGATTCTATGGAACTGGAGTTACAGATGGTTCTCAGCCTCCATGAGGGTGCTGAGAACCTAACCCATGTCCTCTGGAAAAGCAGCCAGTGCTCTTGACTACTGGGCCATCTCTTCAGCCCCTGTTGCTTAGGTTTTTTAAAAAATTATATATTGGAGTAAAATTCATATAACACAAAATTAACTATTTTAAAAGGAACAATTCAGGAGCATATAGTACATTCCTAACTCTACTTAGTTCCAAAACATTTCTATCTCTCCAAAGTAAAACTTTTTGCCCATTAAGAAACAAAAGAGCTGCCAGGTACAGTGGCAGCGGCAGGTGAATCTTTGTGAGATCAAGGCCAGCTTGGTCTACACAGCAAGTTGCAGGACAGCTCGGGCTACAGGGAGACCCTATCTCAAAAAAGACAGAAAAGGAAGGAAGGGAGGGAGGGAAAGAGGGAAGGAGGGAAGGAGGAAGGGAGTAAGAGAGCTGGGGACGTATATAGCTCAATGGTAGAGCATTTGTCTAGCATATGAAAAACTCTCGGTTCTAGTCCCTAAGAATTTCTCAATTGGGCAGCCTGGACAACAGAGTGATTTCAAATCAAGCCTAGGCAAGTTAGATCCTGTCTCAAAATAAAATTACAAAATGGGTTGGGGATATAGCTTAGTGAGGGTGCTTACCTAGCATGTACAAGGCCCTAGGTTTAAACCCCAGTACTGAGAAAGAAGGGAGGAAGGATCCCAGCACTTGGGAAACTGCTATAGGATGACTGCCAAGAGTTTAAGACCAAACCTGTCTCAAAACAAAATAAAACTAACAACAATAACAAAAACCTGGGAATGGTGACTCACATCTATAATCCCAGCACTCAGGAGACTAAGGCAACAGAATTACTATGAATTCAAGGCCAAACCAGGCTGCAAAATGAGACTCTGTCTCAAAAACAAAATTTATCCATCTAGTAAGTTAATTTCTCTTCATTCCCTCCTCTCTCCAGTTCTGCCAACCACCAATATGTGGTTTGCCTCTAGGTTATATCTATGGATTTAGCTATTCTGAGTATTTCATATAAGTGGAAACATAATATGTAATTTTTATGACTAGTTTCTTTTATTTAGCATAATGTTTTCTAGAAATCTACACTGCAGTATATATCAGAACTTCATTTCATGGATAGAACATAGTTTATACATTCATTCATTCATGAATATTTAGTAGGTTTACTCCTTCATCTCTTATGACTTATGTTGTTATGAGCATGTATATACATGCTCTTATTTGAGTATATGTTTCATTTTTATATATATAATTATGCATGTAATTGCTGGGTCCTGGTAACTCTTATATTTAATTTTGGAGGAACCACCAGACTGTTTTTCACAGTAACTGAACCACTTTACATTCTCATCAGCAAAAGCTGAGTAGTTGCAACTTTTCATATCTTAACCAAGATTTGTTATTTTCCATTTTTAATAAACTATTATTAGATGCTGAAGAGATGGCTCAGCAGTTCAAAGTGCTTTCTGTATAATCATAAGGACAAGAGTTCAGATCCTAGCACCCATTAACAAGCCAGGCATCCCACAAAATCCTATAACTATAGCTCTGAGAGATCCATGCCTCTGCATGTACACACACACACACACACACACACACACACACATACACACAGAAAAACTTAATAACCAAACCAACAAAAAAATTAAAAATCTAAAAGAAAAACCCAACTGTGGTTTTGTTGTTGTTGTTTTAAGGCAAAGTCTCACCATATAGCCCTGGTTGGCCTGAAACTCACTATGTAGACCAAACTGGCCTCAAAGTTACAGCGATCAATGGCTCTGCCTTGAGTGCTAGGATTAAAAGTGTGCACCACCATGCCAGACTCAAGCTATTATTATTGTTAGCGTTATAGCTATTCTAACTGTTGTGAAGTCTATTCTTAGGTTCGTACTTTTACTTCGCTTCTCTTAGTAACAGAGTTTTCCTGCTGATCTCTGACCTTTAGCCTGCTCTATCAGACACCTCCTGCTGACTCTGATCACCTGGACCCAGTACATGGAGCCAGGATTCAGGACCCATGTTATTGGCTGATTTTTCCAACTATGGTACTTGCTTGCTTCAGTCTGCAGTTTGTCTGCTTGCTTCTTTCCTTTTTCTTATGTAGAGTTGGGGTTTATTAAACATTTTAATATAGGCTTACACATAAGGTTTAAGACAAACAGAGGCTCTCAGAAGAAAGTAAAACACATCCAAGAACAGGCTACATCAGCTTCTAAAGAAGAGCTGAGGAGAATGAGACACACTCAAGTATGGGTACAGTCCTCTCAAGAGAGAGTCACCCTGTTTCTTTCTTACCAATCCTCAACCCTCACATACACAGCGTTTCACTAAGCAGCCCAGGCTGGTCTCTATTGGAAAGTCTCCTGTCTAGCTTCCCAAGCACTCCTGTTACAAGATTACAGATGTGTACCAACATGCTCTACTAGAAATTTCACTTTTGTTTTTCCATGGTTCAAATAAAATAAGAAAAGGGTGGCAAGGCTAACCATTCTCACTAATCAGATCTCCAGAGACTAAACTACTAGTGTCTATTACTGCAGCAAAAGCCCACTTAGTCTTTCATTGGACACAAAGTTGTTCAGTAATCAGTCCTTTCCTTCTGTATATACACAGTGATGACAGCTAACAGCTAAGTGACATTCAGCCCCTATGGGTTACTTTATATTTTAGCCTTTCTACTCTTTTTTTAAATTGTTTAAAAATTTTATGTTTACAAGTGTATTGCCTACATGTATGTAAGTGCACCCATGTTGTGCAATTCCCATGGAGGTCAGAAAAGGGCATCAGATTCCCCTGGAACTGGAGCTACAGAGGATTGTTAGCTACCATATGGGTATTGGGAAGAGAGCCTGGGTCATCTATAAGAGCAGCCGGTGCTCTTAACCACTGAGCCATCGCTCCAGCCCTTAGCTTTCCTACTCTTGCTTAAGTATTCTCCATCTACAAGGTCTTTTTTTGGCACATCTATCAAATAAAGCTCTGCTCCTTCTTAAGGGCAAGAGACCATGTGTCATCTCTCCTATATGATGCTTTCCCTGCTGCTGCTCTGGGACTCAGTTCTGAACAAGAGTATACTATTTTAAGTTGGGTAGTGCTAGACATTGAACCCAGGGCCTCATGGTGGTAGGTAAGTATTCTGCCACTAAACGTTCATTTCATTCATTTTATTCCTTTAGGACAGAATATGCTTCATCTAGGTCTTCCTATAGGATTTAGCATAGCACCAGTACAAAGTAGATCTTTCCTTACAGTATTTCATGAATTGGTGAATTAAAAGTTGAAATCTGCTAAATTAAAACAAGATTGTTTCTTTTTGTTGTTGTTGTTTCTAATATTTTATTATTTTTATGTGTATGAGTGTATTGCCTTCCTGTAGGTAAGTGCACCCATGTCATGCAGTGCCTGCGAGGACAAAAGAGGCCATCAGATCCCCTGGAGCTGGAGTTACAGACAGTTGTTAGCTGCCATGTGGGTGCTGGGATTCAAACCCGGGTCTTCTGCAAGAACAACCAGTGTTCTTAACCACTGAGCCATCTCTCAGCCCTTTTTTTGGTGTTTTTGAGACAGAGTCTCCCTGTAGTCCCAGGTGGCCTGGAACTTGAGACCAAGCTGGCCTCGAACTCACAGAGATCCGCCTGCCTCTGCCTCCTGAGTGCTGGAATTAAAGGCCTGCGCCACCACGCCCAGACTGAAACAAGATTGTTTCTTTGTCTCAACACCAATGGAATAGTGCAGGTGCTGTCTTATAGGGGTGCCTATGAGACCCAGGACTTCAACCTAGTCACTCCAACAGCTTTGCATTCCATGGCATAGCAGTAGACCTTGACACAGGACTCACAGAGAGGCGGCCCAAACAGCACTGTATCCAGGGCCTTCAACTGCAGCTTCTGCCGATGGCTCCGATCTGTCATCTTCAGCACAGTCCCCGTCATGGTGGTATTGGTTATAGCTAGCCTGTTGAGCAAAGAGCAAGGGGTCAGTTCCATGACAGTTAAGGCAGGAAGTACCCTGGGAGGATTACCCATCTCTTCTGTTCTCCTCCGTACTCTAGCACACAGAGTCTAAAGCAGAAGGCTCTCAACAGAATATTTACCAGGAATTTGATCACCCTCTCTCCCCATATCCATCTCCTAAGTATCCTATCTTCTGAGGATACTATTGCCCAAGTTGGGGCAATCCTCGTGCCTAACCATACATTTTCTCTCGTGCTTCTTTTTAATTTATTTCTCATTTACTATTATTATTTCAGAGAGAGACAGGGAAAGACAGAGAGAAAAAGGGAAAATGAGAATGAGCAATCTCTGGGCATGATATGTGAGGGTGCACATGTGGATATCAGAGGACAGCTTTCAGGAACTGGTTCTCTCCTTCACCTTGTTGAGGCAGAGTCTCTCTTATTTGACCCATTCTGTGTACTCCATGCTAACTGGCATGTGAGCTTCTGAGTGAGTCTCCTGTTTCCACCTCCCATCTCATTGTGGAAATTCTGGGATTAGAGATAGTACCAGTGCATCCAGCTTTTTTAAAAAATGGGTTCTGGGGATGGAACTGAAGTTATCGGGCTTGTAGTATCTTTACCTGCTGAGCCTTCTCACCAGCCTGTTCTTGTGCTTCTGCTTCCAAGGATTACCTTCAATATATCTGTTGCCAACTCCATCACTTAGAAAGGTTTTGCCAACCCAGCCCAGATCAAAACATCATGCTCCATGACCCGATGATTCTGGGGCCTTCTAAACTGTCCTAATTCTAATCCACTGTCATTATATATAAACCTGCTTATGACAAAAATTGAGTTAGTCTTGTTAACAAGGATCTGAGTCACTGTAATACAGTTTACTCCCAATGAGATTAATGGAATTTAAATTTTTTTTTATTTCATGTGTATGCATGTATTGCCTGCATATAGGTAAGTGCACCTGTGTCGTGCAATGCCCACAGAGGATAGAGAGGCTATTGGATCCTCTGGAAATGGAGTTATGGACATTTCTTAGCTGACAAGTGGGTGCTGGGATTCGAACACGGGTCTTCTGCAAGAACAGTGTTCTTAACCACTGAGCCATTTCTCCAGCCCCCTAATGGAATTTTTTTATGATCTTCAACCACACAGATATCTTTCATAAGACAGAGTGTAGCAGGAGGCCTCCAAAGATGGTGCGGACTCAGAGCCCTGGGATTCAGCGAAAATTCACTTCATTTCTTGGTCCACAAACAGGCCGCCAAAAGGAGCGACTGCGTGGCGTGGACCAATCAGAAAACGATACATTGACTAAAGGGACTTGGGGGCGGAGGAAGGGGAAATATAAGGCCTGCCCCCTCCTGCTTTAAACGAGCCTGCAGCACCTCGCCTAGTGCTTGCTTCTACCCAACTCCCGGTGTCTGTGTGTTGACTCCATGCCTCTTGCCCCCCCAATCGGCAGGGGACCCAATCCAGGTCGGGGTCTTCACAGCTGGCCTGAGGAGAACCTGCAACAACAGAGTCCTTTTTTTTGGTTTGGTATTTTTGAGACAGGCTCTCCCTATAGCCCCAGCTGGCCTGGAACTCACTTTGTAGACCAGGCTGGCCTCTAACTCAGAGATCCGCCTGCCTCTGCCTCCCAAGTGCTGAGATTAAAGGCGTGCACCACCATGCCCGGCAAGTCAGAGTCTTTAAACAAGAAAATGACTTAGAATTTGGATTTTCTCTTCTGCTGGAATATAGCAGGTATAGAAGGAAAGAGATATAAGATATGAAAAGTTGGAAACCACTTGCCTGGGTCCCCTACGGGCACATTTGATACTATACTACTCTTTGCAGTCTATGATTCTTTGTGATACATAGCTTTATTTCCTCTGTTAGAAGAAAGACTTCTGACATCTTAATATGTGGTTTGTATGCCTGTCTGAGCAAGAAGCAGGAATACCTACTTCCTTCCTACAAGAGAGTCAATGAGGCACTGTGACAGGGGGTCAGGAGATCTGGCTTCTGGTCCCAACTCTCTCACTTGTGTGATTATAAACTGCTTGTTCACTCCCCTGAGACCTCAGTTTCCTTCTATGTAAATTTATTTTATTATTTTTTGTGTGTGTGCACATGTATGCAGGTGCTGTGGAGGCCAGAGAGGGTATTGGATCCCCTGGAACTAGAGTTACAGGTAATTGTGAACTACCTGATGTGGTTGCTGAGACCCAAACCCAGGTCTTGTACAAGAGTTGAAAGTACTCTTAACTACTGAGCCATCTCTCTGACTCCAGTTCTCTTTTTGAAAATTATATTTATTGCTGGGTGGTACATGCCTGTAATCCCAGCACTTGGGAAACAGAGGCAGAAGGATCTCTGACTGAGTTCAAGGACAGACTTGTCTTCCTAAGTAAGCTCCAGACCAGCTAGGGGCTACATAGTAAGATCCTGTCTCAAAAATAATTACATTGATTGATTGAGTGGGAGGGTACACACATTACACAGTACACCTGTAGAATTCAGAAAACAATTTGATGGAGTTGGGTCTTCCCGTCTACCATACAGCCTAGACCCACTCCTACCCTGCCAGATGCCCTAAAGGCGTTTCATGCTTCTTGCTGTCACTAAGGTGACATAGTGTGCCATTTCTACTCCTGTACCCGACTTGGCTGGATCTGGTCTTGGCTCTAATGCCAACCACAGGAAGATTACATCAATTCATAACCTAAGATTTGATTGTGTGTTTTTGTGTTTGTGTTTGTGTGTGTGTGTGTGCACATGCATTCAGTGCTCAAGCCTCAAACCCAAGGCAAGTTCTCTGTCATTAATTATACCCCCACGAAGAGCTTCTTAGTCTGTGCTTTGCACTTTTTTTTTCTTTTTTTTGCTTTGCACTTTTAATCCAAGTTACAGTTTTTTCTGGTAATTAAACTGCCCATAAAGCAACTTAATTTCCATGAAAAGCAGTAAGAAATATATACCCTGAAGTTTTATGATAAATCGTCTATTCATTTGAACATCCAACAGAGTTTCTTTAGGCAGGGGCCAGTTTTAATGCATCTCTTTTTCCCTCAAGGTTCAGAGAGTAGAGAGTATGTGGTAAGAGTCTTTGGTAAAATTTTGGGGTTTTGTTTGCTTTTTTTTTAAATAACCTGGGGCTGGAGCGATGGCTCAGAAGTTGCAGAGGACCTGGGTTCAACTTCAATTTCCCATTTCCCAGCACCCACATGGTAACTAACAACTGTCCATAACTCCAGTTCCAGGGGATCTGACACCTTCCTCTGACTTCTGTGGGCATTACACGACATGGGTGCACTTACACACATCCAGGCAATGCACTCACATAAAATTAAAAAATAATAAATAGGGCTGGAGAGATGGCTCTGCGGTTAAGAACACAGGCTATTCTTTCAGAAGACTGGGGCTCGAATCCCAGCACCCACACGGCAGCTAACAACTGTCTATAACTCCAGTTCCAGGGGATCCAACAGCCTCTTCTGTCCTCCGCAGGCATTGCACGACATGGGTGCAGTTACCTACACGCAGGCAATACACACATATACATAAAATAAAAATAAGAATAAAATATTTAAAATAATATTTTTTAAAAAAACAAAGAAACAACTGAACAGAATATGGCAAGGAAGGCCTATCTCAATCATACGGCACAAGAGGAAGGTACAGTGAAAAAGAAACAGGGCCCTAGAAACTAGACAAAGTTGAGTTCAAACCCTAGCTCTACCACTTATCAGCCTGTATGATTTATAAAATATTATAGTTCAAATCGCTTACCCAAAAGATAGCATAGTAATTCCTTCCTCTCAAAATAATGAGAACTGAAATAATAGGTAGGAAAGCACTCTATACTGGAAGTTACAAACATTGGGATTATTATTCTCTTCAGAGTAGGAAGAAACTGTGAATAGGAGGCTGCAGGCAGCAGTATCTGGAAGCTCTGTGGCTGGAGTCTGCAATGTGTAGGAATTCCAACAGTTTCACCTTCCCTTTTCCCCTTTGTTGAAGCTTGTAACGAGATGCACCTACATAATAAGATGACGGTGATACATAATCAGCACTTATCAGACAGTAAGCCCTTTGAAGGCAAGGGCAGGTAGTTGTCATCTTTATCCACATCACCCAGCACAAGTGCTTGGCACAGAGCAGGTGTGTGTGTGCGCGCACGTGTGTGTGTGTGTGTATGTGTGTATGTGTGTGTGTGTGTGATAATCAACAAGCAAATGGATTAATGACTAACACCTGGCATTACTGTACAGTAATAAGAAGGGCACTTCAACCCTATTCCCAGCCCAAGCCCCAACATACTGTCTTCCTATAAAACAGGTGAAGGGTTAGGTATGATACTACAGGTGTTATAGAGGGAAAAGAGAGTTTACTGTAACACCTCTTTACCATTTTCATCGAAGCAGATTAACTGTACATGGATGACCCAGGAGAGGTGAAAGAGCCCTGAAGTGGCTGCTCCTTGGTGATAAAGAGCAGCTGCTAGAAAAATGGGGGGCAGGGGGAGGACATCAAACTCTGAATCTAGATCTACAAAACATCTAAGTTCAAATCACAGTCTTGCCCCAAATAGCCAGGTTTGAGACCTTGGAAAAGTTACCTAATCATTTTTACTTGTGTACAATATTGTCCACCTTATAGGACTGATAATAAAAATTAAATAAGATAACATATATAAAATGTTGACTAGCATGCCTAGCATGTACCGAGCACTCAGCAAATAGAAGCTATATATTAGTATTATTCCCAGGATTGGTTAAGAATTTTATACAAGAGAATGGATACAAAGTGGCCATCAAGCTTTATAACAAGCACACAACAGATGCGAGGAGTTGTCTACAGACCTCCCTACTGTGGATGAAACCTTACTGAATTGGCCAAAGCAAACTGAAGACACAGCCACTCCCAGCCCATTCCCTATACCCTCAATGAATGGGAAAAAAAAAAAAAAAAAAGTCCTGTCCTGTTCTTGACCTTGGCATGGCATGGCCACTGAGCTGCAACTTCCGGAAGGTCTCCTCATACTGAGGCAGCTCCACATATGTAATCAACCACTGCACCACCTCATCCACGGTCCAGTTGTACACTGTGAAAAGAGATAAGCAAAACCATGACTCAGAAATGTTGAACGGTGCTTGCACTTACTGTTATGGTCACACTGATCTTAACATTTACCACATTTGTGTGCTTACCATGTCCCAAGCCCATAACATGCAAAATCTGAAAAGAGTAGTCATTATTCCAGTCTACTTACAGGAAACCCAAATACAAAAAAATTAACAATGGTTGGCCAAAGCCAGGACTGACTAGAAAAGAGCACGAAGCAATAATTTGGGGTGATAGAAATATTCTGTATCTAGCCGGGCATGGTGGCGCACACCTTTAGTCCCAGCAGAGGCAGAGGCAGGAGGATCTCTGTGACTTCAAGGCCAGCCTGGTCTACAAAGTGAGTTCCAGGCCAGCTGGGGCTACACAGAGACCCTCTCTCAAAAACAACAACAACAACAACAAAAAGATAGTAATTAATTTTATATATTTTTTTTTTCTGTATCTTGAATGTAGTGCTGGCTACAGTGATAAAAAATATTCTGCATCTTGGGGAGGGAAAGATGATTCAGCAGTTTAAGAACACTGGTTGTTCTTTCAGAAGACACCAGTTTGAATCCCAGCATCCACATGGTAGTTAACATGAGTGACACTGGGGGCACTTATTTACATGCAGGAATAACACTCATACACACAAAATTAAAATTAAAAAAAAGAAATATTCTGTATCTTGAATGTAGTGGTGGTTACACAATGATAACATCCACCAAAATTCATCGAACTGTATATTTACAATCAGTATATTATGGGACAAAGGGCCTCATGTCCACAATCCCAGCTCTAAGAAGGCTGAGGCAAGAGAATGGTTATGAATTCCAGGGTAGTCTGGTTAGACAGTGAATTTGAGACCAGATTAGGCTAAATAGACAGACCCTGTCTCAAAAAAACAAATAAAATACAATAGCTTTATCTTCATGTCTCAATAAAGTATATTTTAAAATATTTCTTAAAAGGTTGGGCGTGGCAGTGCATGCCTTTAATCCCAGCACTCAGGAGGCAAAGGTACATGGATCTCTCTTCAATCAAGGCCAGTCTGGTCTACACAGTAAATTCCAGGCCAGCTGGGGCTACAGGGAGACCCTATCTCAAAAAAAAAAAAAAAAAAAAAAATTTTTTTTTTAAGCTCTGCATGGTAGAATACTTCTGAAGTCCTAGCACTGTAAAGGCAGAAAGATAAGGAATTCAAGGCCATCCTTAGCTACATGTTGAATTTGAAGTCAGCTTGGGTTACATGAGACCCTGTCTCAAAATTTTAAAAAAACAATGTTTTTTGGGGACATGTAGCCCAGGTTAGCCTTGAGCATATATGTAGCTGAGGATAACAATGAACTTTTCATCCTTCTGCCTCTACCTCTCAAGAGCTAGGCATGTGCCTCAGCATCCAATTTATTTGGTATTGGGCATCAAACTTAGTACCCTATGCATACTAGGAAGGTACTTTACCAATTGAGCTACATCCCTGGCCTCAAATAATGACTTTATAAAATAGTAAATGTTAGGACTGAAAACCATCCATGCAATTGACCAAACTTTCATAAAGGGCCCATGTAATGCTCAACTTGCAGAAAGTTAGTTCCCACTGTAGTGGTCAAGATGAAAAGCTAAATAGCATCAGTGAAGCATGGATTAAAGAAATGGGTAAAGAATACACAGAAGAGATTCAAAGGGATGCACAGAGATGATCAACTATAAAATAAAAGATATTGAAAGGGCTGGGGTGTGGCTCAGTGGTAAAGCATTTGCTCAGCAGGCAGAAGGCCTAGGGTTCGTGCTCTCTTTATGATCCCCCCAAAAGATAATAAGAAAGTTATCTGAAATATAGGTACAGCTGGGGGTATCAAGCACTTAATATACAATGAAGTCAGGTGCAAAGAAAACGTGAAATTTGATCTGTCTAGAATATAGATCTATGAAGTCAGCTATGATGCTCATAATCCCAGTATTCAGAAGGCTGAAGTAGGAGAACTGTTTCAAGTTGAGGCCAGCTTGAGCTTACCGGGCATGTAGACACCTGTAGCCCCAGCTGGCCTGGAACTCACTATGTAGACTAGGCTGGCCTTGAACTCACAGAGATTCACCTGACTCTGCCTCCTGAGTGCTGGGATTAAAGGCGTGCACCACCACGCCCAGCTCTTTTCTAGCTTTTTAATATGAAGGCTGAACTCACTTGAGGTGGTTTAAATGAGAATGTACAAGGAGTTGGACATGTTGTCCCCAGCTGGTGGAGCTGTTTTGGGAGGTTTTAGGAGGTGTAGCTTTACTGGAGGAAGTACAACACTGGGGGTAGGTTTTGAGAATTCTTAAGCCTTGCCAGATTTTCAGCTTTCTGCTTTGGTCACCTCTGCCACCATGCCTCCCCTTGCCATTATGGACTCCTACCTCTGGAACCATAAGCTCAAATAAACTCTTCCTTCTCTAAGTTACCTTGGTCATGGTGTTTTATCATAGCAATAGAAAAGTAACTAATACATCACTGATTTGAGTCCATTCTTCTTCCTCTTTTTTTTTAATGTGTCTCTATGTGATGTGTGTGCATGTGTATGCATGTTCCCATATATTTGTGCATATGTATATGCACATGTGTGCACATGTATGTGGGGGTCCAAGGCTGACAGTGGAAGTCATCTTCAATCATTCTCCACCTTATTCATTGAGGCAGTGTCTCTTTAATTTTTGTGAAACTTAATTTTCTCTGGGCTTTGTTGTTGCTCTGTAGATGCCCTTTAATAGTTTGTCCTGGTGGGGTTAGAGAGGTTTAGCACAGTAACCTAGTGGAGTGGTCCTATCACATGAGGTTTAAGACTAAGGCCTAGATTATTTTTGCAGTGATGTTTCAGGACTTGATACTGACATCATCTTAGAAAACTAAGATGTTCAGCTAGTGAATGCCAGAAGGAAACTGTGCAGACAAACCAGTTCCAAGTCGCACCCTATCTTTAAGAGCTGTTATAGAAGAACCAAATAATTGGGTTTTTTAATTGGGTTTTTCCAATTAAATTTTAAGTTAGCTAAAGGTAAGCTCTATGATATCTCTTCCCTCGGTTCTCCCTTTCTCTGTGCTCTCATGATCCCTAATATCTTTCTCTAATCAAGCACTTAGCACTCTGTTATACTCAGTTATTTCTTCTTACATCTTCCTCTGTACAATTGAACTCTTAAGGAGAGAGTTCATACAGATTCATCTCTGTGCTGGTAATTCACCCCAAGACCACCTAAAGTAGATACTGATAAAGTTTGGTGAATGAATGTGATAATAATAGCTAATGTAGCTAAGGCTGTGTTGAATACCTAATCTTCCTGCCTCTGCCTTCCAAGTGCTGGAATTCAAGGTGTGCAACACCACAGTTGGTTAGCTAATATTTCTTTGAAGTTACTGTAGGAAAGGAACTTCCTTGTATCTTTACTATGCTTTTTTAAAAAATATATAGGATCTCACTATGTAGCCCCAGCTGGCCTGGAACTTGCCATGTAGACCAGGCTGGCTTCAAACTCAGAGATCTGCCTGCCTCTGCTTCTTGAGTGTTGGAATTAAAAGCATGCACCATCATGCTCAGCTTCCCTATACTCTTATAAGAGCTCTATCACCATTTTAGGTAACAAAAATCAGGCAGAAAAAGTTTTAATGTCTTTTTCATAGGCTTACATTTAATACGTAATACTTAATTCAAGGCACATGATTCCAAAGCCCACACTTGTAACTGCTGACCAAATGGCTGACTGAGGTTGACCAAGTGACCAGTAATTGACTCAAAAAGGAGACTCAAAAAGGTATTGGCAACCTTCCTGCCAGACATAGTTCTCTTGGGATGGGGCTTGAAACCACAAAAGTAGATGAAAGCTTCATCTAAAGGTGCCACAAGTCCATTATAGGAAAGAGATACTGACTCAAGAGCCCATTTCTTATTGTTTATTCTTTTCCTGGCAAGAAAAAAAAATGGCCAAGGCCCAGTATCTGCTTTGACACAACCCTAGAGGACAGCTATAGCTGAGTGCTAGGAGTGGTATGCGTTGTTCCTTCTGCTGGGGTGCCCTTACCCCAGGTGTCCACATGACTCAGCTTTACTTCACTTTCTACATAATGTCACCACACCAGAGAGGCCCTTCCTTCCCTAAAAGCCCTTTTCTGTTGGCTTTTACTCTCTTACTGCTTAGTTTTCCTTCATTGTATTTACTACCTCTTGATGTTTTCATAGTGCTTTTGTTTTTCATTTTTTATTTATATTCAGGCTGGCAGGTCAAGGAGGATGAACACAGAACTGACTTAGACTTAGCAAGTGGAGACAGTTGATGAGTTTGGCAAGACCATTTTTGCTATAATGGTGGGGGCAAAAGCCCGGTTAAGAGTGGACTTAATGGAACATGAGAAAGAATTGGAAACAGAGTTTAAAATATTTTTATTATTTTTATTTTATGTGTACAAGTGTATTGCCTGCATGTATGTGATAGTACCCACAATGCCCACAGAGGTCAGAAGAGGGCTTTGGATTCCCCTGGAACTGGAGTTAAGGGCGGTTCGTAGCCGCCATGTGGGTGCTGGGAATCGAACCCAGGTCCTCTGTGAGAGCAGTCAGTACTCTTAACTGCTGAGCCATCTCTCCAGCCCTATTTATTTTTATTTTGAAGACATGATCTTACTATGGACTCCTGGCTGGCCTTGAACTTAAGAAGATCCACCTATCACTGTTTCTTGAGAGCTGGGATTAAAGGTGTTCAGCACCATGCCTGGCCTATTTATTTTGTGTGTGTGTGTGTGTGTGTGTGTGTGTGTGTGTGTACTCACAAGTATACATACCACAACATGCACATGGAGGTCAGAGGACAATGTGCAGGAGTCAGTTCTCTCCTTTCACCATGTAGGTACTAGGGATGGAACTCGGGATTGAACTTGAGTCATTAGGCTTGGTGGCAGGTGCCTTTACCCACTCACATGTCAGGTCACAGGTCATGTCACAGGTCATTTATAGTGTTTTGTGCTATTTT